TGTATACCATCCTTATTTCATATGGCTTAGGACAATGCATCAAAGCATGCGGGTTCACATATGCAGAAAACGTAATACTTCAAGTCGAAGGATAGTTACACCCGTGGTCGCGCTAAAGATGCTTAGAGCATGAACTAAAAGTTCAAGCAACATCTTTAGGATGGGTCAGTCCGGCATCCTATTATCTCTAGATAATATCTGCCCATGTGCGGATGCGAACACACCGTCATTGACTATGAGATTAAGTCAAACATCCAACACACACTAGTCTCACATGCATTAACGATATCCCACTCTCGTTAATACTCGACTATGGACATTTAGATAAATATTTATTTCAAGATGTTAGTCTCATCAGCAGAAGAACACTATCTGATAAACATCTTTTAAATATAAATCTAGGAATATAATATTTGTTTACATTAGCATGAGATGTGTAAACATATTATATCTGCCTATACATGATAGAATAACGATAAACAGTTGGCCATCAGGGCACAACTCCAACAAATACAAGCAAGAAAAAGGGAAATTCCAAGCAACTTCCTTAAACAAATATCAAGAATAGTACCCAATTGATCACATTATTTTATGGAATGAAAATCAAGGATGAGGGGGACTTTGGCTTTGATGTTTTCGGCCATATTGAGAGACAAAAGGGGGTGTGGGAATATTGTGATTTGAGGATAATTTTGACGAGGTTTTAATGTGATGGTTTCGGCCATATTAGGGAAACAAAGGGGTGGTTTGATGTGAGGATTATTTGGTTGGTTGTGTGGGGAAATATATGGTGGGTGAGGGGTTATATTTGGCGATCAAAGAGGAAAATTAGGGGTGTGAATATTTTGTGTTGTTTGGCTTTTAATGTATAGAATATATGGTGGGTAAGCTATCAAACAACAACACATGCTCTTTGGCCTATTCTTGAGTGTACATTCGGCCTTACTAGGGGACAAGTGGTCCCTAATGTTGGCTAGTCTTCAAACATTAAAATGGTTGTTTTTTTTGTTCTTGTGTTTTTTTTGTTCTTGTGTTTGACAGCTCGAGACAGGAAAAGAAGTATTTCTTTGGGAAAAGCCAAGTTGGTGTTAAGGGATATTACACACTCTTATCTTAACTTGGGGTTGAGTCTAGCATTCAAATAAGATATCACACACTTATTTAAATAACTAGAACCTAAAACTCACACTCAAGAGAACCACTCTTAAGATATAGGATTAGGAATTTGGAATGAAACACACAAGTGAATCACTTTGATTTAAAAATAGAATACAATGTGTTTCTACACCCAAGCCTATTGCATTATATATAGGATTACATTGGAGGGAATAAGGGAAAATACAACTCACTCAAAATAATGCCCCTATGCTTATATTTCTTGAGTGGAATAAAATCAGGGATATGGGTTGTTTGGTGGGGTTTTGGGCTGTACCTGAGTTGCAAGAAATGTTGGGGGAAGGAGGGATGAATGTGGGGAGGGCTGAGGTTGAGGGTCAAGGAGTGGGGGTAAGATGAAGTGGTACATTTGGCTGGGTATTTGTGGAGGTTTTGGGAATTTGAATTTGGTCAGGGTTGGGAGACAAAGGGGTGTGTGTGGGGTGTGTAATTTGGATTTTTGTTGTAGGTTTATTGTGGGGAGTGGATGTATTATTGTGTATTATCCCTGGGCATTTTGGGTTATAATTTGAGTTTATTGGGGAACATAATGGGGACCATGCTAGGTGTGTTTTGGACACTTATTTTCGGCATTGTAAAATAATAGGAAAGGGAAATTGTGGCTTGGTTTTCTTTGGATTCCTCATAATGGATTATGAAATGTTGGGATTGTTATTAAGGTGGTGATGGGTTCAAGGTAAGTATGGTTAGGGTGCATGGTTTGGTGATGATTTCATTCCAGAGGGGGTCATAACACTTGGACATTATTCCATTGATTTCCTTAAGGACTTGAGGGTGATTTGTGGTGCTCTGGGATATATCATCCTCCCCGTCTTCAGAAGAGTTTGTCCTCAAACTCGGAAGTTCTTCAGTGTCAAAATATGGACTGAGATCCTTAACGTTGAATGTAGCAGAAACTCCGTAATCTCCGGGCAAATTGACTTTGTAGGCGTTGTCGTTGATCTTCTTTAAAATCTCGAATGGACCGTCGACTCTTGGCAGTAACTTGGACTTACTTTTAGCGGGAAACGCTCTTTTCTTAGGTGAATCCAAACCAAGTCCCCGGGCTGAAAACTTGTGAATTTTCTTCCTTTGTTCATCCTGTTACTAACTTTCTCATTTACCGCTTCAATCTTCTCTCAAACCTTTTCGTGGAGTTCTTGAATTTTCTTGGACCGTTGACCAGCTACCCAACTGTATTGCTCTTTTCCTATGATGGGATCAAGCTCAAGTGGGGTGAGGGGGTTCGAGCCATAGACCACCATGAACGGGGATAGTCCTGTGGTCTTGTTTGGGATTCGGTTATAGGCAAACTCGGCGTGCGGCAGTAGCTCCTCCCATTGCTTGATGCTTCGTTTGATTAGAACTCGAAGGAGAGTTCCTAGCGTTCTGTTTGTGACCTCAGTTTGACCATCAGTTTGCGGATGGCTAGCGGTGCTGAGTTTGAGCTTTGTGCCTAGCTTTCTCCACAATGTCATCCAAAAATGGCTAAGGAATTTGGGATCCCTATCAGAAACCATGCTGCGGGGTATGCCATGGAGTTTAACGACCTCTCGGAAGTAGAGATCGGCTACTTGGGAAGCATCGTATTGAAAGGTAACCATGCAAGGATAGGCAGCGGAATATAAAAATTTTAACATCCTAACATGATTATCTTGCCCAGAATCACGTACTAAAACTTATAGTGAGTAAGAAATTTATACATTTCTCCGTAAGCGGTAAAAACGAAGAAGTCGTATGAAGAGCGTTGAAAGTGCAAACGTAACCGTCCAAGCGTTCGGTCTCCAACTTTGACACACGAACAACGCCGGAGTGTACCACAATCTTTATGCTAGTAAAGATTATAGTAGTATAAAATATAAAGATTAAAATTGGGATAATAATAATCTTGTATATTTCTATAGAAAATATTTCTAATAATATTTAGAAAATATTATAGATATTTTCTATACACAAAATGATATTAATGGAACCAAACTAATATTTTTCTCTCTCTTAAATGGTATGGCCGAATAATCTCCTTACTTAGCTAATGGTGTGTATGGTTTAAATAAAGCATGATTAGTAATTGATGTTGTCATTAGCTAAATGACAAATCAATTAGCCCACTCAAAAATCAATCAAAGGAAATAATGATCCTCTTCAATCCCATATGGCCGAATAAAAGATTTGTAATTGTGAGAAGGATTTTCAAAATTCTTCTCCACTTAAATGTTCAAAGTGTATTTTATTTGACACCAAAAATTAATATAAAATTAATTTTAAATCAAATAAAATACCAATATCATTTTTAAACAAGTATAAAATATACTTCAAATAGTTTATGTCAAAATAATTATTTTCATAATTAAAATGACAACCCAAAATAAAATATTCAACATATAATATATATTTTTTTTAAAGGAAACTTTATTAAACAATAGGAAAAAAAAGGAGGGATTACAATCTAGTGTTCTGGAAACTACAAATGCCCACTTGAAAAATAGATGACTTATACAAAAAAGTGGTATCTAATTTATTTGCCCAAAACCAAGCTTGAGTGAGTTTGTTTATGGATGTCAACAGCCCGTTGATGGATGGTTTATGTCCTTGGTAGAGAAAGGAGTTGTAGAGCTTCCAAACAGACCAACATAAAAGACCAGGCAGGATAAATCTCAAGTTCCCTTTGATGCTGCCCTTGTTTGACGAAAACCACCAGCTGAGAATGATTTGCTGAGCAGTTAAATCTCCTCCTGCCAAAGGTGCATTGACAACCAGAGAGTAAGTTTGCCAAATATGGGATATCATCGAGCAGCCTACAAAGATATGCTGTTCATCAACATCCAGTTCATCACAGAAAGGACAAGGTGTGTTTATCATGATTCCCATTTTTTGAAGGTTTCGTGGGAAAGGTAGCAACTTGTTTAAAAACCGCCAAAGGAAGATGCTGATTTTTCCCATTTGCCTCTTGTCCCAGATACAAACAGAAGTGAACATTCTTGGCTTGTGCTCAAACGTGAGCGAGTAGGCAGTTTTGAAGTTGTATGTCCCTGATAGCCATGCCACATCTTCACCATGATAACTGCAGTGTGGAAGGACCAAAGAGGAGATCTTGCAAATAGCCTTCCACGTGTATGAGTCATAGATCTTAGGGGAGAAGAGTCCATATCTGAAATATTTAGACTTCATAAATTTCCCCCAGATGGAATTTCCAGTAACCACCTTCCACCGCAGATCTATGTGAGCTGCATCCTGGCTATTGAGGAGGTTTCTAAGTCCCAGGCCTCCTTCCTCGAATGGAAAACAAAGTTTTTCCCATTTTCTCCAGTGATATTTTGGACCTTCTTCGTTTATTCCCAAGAAGTAGTTTGCCATAAGTCTATTCAAACTTTTGAGAATTGATTTAGGAATTCTTTGTGCAGCCATAAGATGTAAAGGAATTGAGGATAGCACGTGTTTGATGAGAATGAGCCTCCCCATCTGATTGAGCTTCTTGCTGTACCAAGCATTTACGGAGTATTTTTTTCTCAAATTTTTCAACCAATGCCTTGCAGTGAACTTTCCTCAGTTTACCCTTGACAATATTAGAACCAAGGTAGGTAAATTCCTTTGTGTGACACCTGATGGACAGGATTTTTCTGATCTGGTTTTGCTGCTCAGCCTTCATTCTTTCATGGACTATAACTTGGCTTTTGGAGTAATTTATTTCCTGTCCTGATGCCTTCATGAAAAGGGAGAGAAGTTCCCTAAGTCTCAATAGATTCCTACTGTCTGCTTTGGTGAAAAGGATGATGTCATCAGCATAAAGAAGATGGCATGGTGTGGGGTTTCTTCCAGCTGAGAATGGTGAAATATATCCACGGGAGAATTGATGATTTAAGAACCTTGATAGACCTTCCAAGGCAATGATGAAGAGAAGAGGGGAGAGGGGGTCTCCCTGCTTAAGTCCACATTTCATGGGGAAAAAACCCTGTGGCTGGCCATTTACCAATACAGAGAAGTGAGTTGCCCTAAGGTTACCCATTAAAAGATGAACAACAGGTGGGCTGAAACCAAATTTGGTTAGCACAGCATCCAAATAATTCCAGGAGAGTTTGTCAAAAGCCTTTGATAAATCCAGCTTAATGATGCAGTTTCCCCCCCTCCCTTTAGCTGAGAGAATGTGGACCATTTCTTTTACCATGAGAACATGTTCAGTAATGTTTTTACCAACCTGGAATGCTTGTTCCTGGGAGATTAGTTTAGGAATGACTATTTTGAGCCTCTCACTTAACAGCCTGGAAATGATTTTGCTAAAG